TATTCGAATTATTCGTGTCGTAAATAGCGGTTAGACTTGTAAAAGGAAAGATACCGTGTAAAATTATTAAAGACACAAAATTATGAAGACCCGATCATAAACCATTTCGTCTCTAACCAGGAAGAAGTTGTCCGTAAGGGACGTTTCATCGATTTGTCATTAAAGTAACCTTGCGGTACCTCCTATCTACGAAGCTAGACACGCGAAACATTTTTCTGGTTAATCTTTTTACAATTGATATATTATAATCGTGCACTTCAATGAATGTATTTCTAATAATACAATCACGAATGCAAATTGCAAAGAATATCACTCGAGTGTTTTTTTCTATAATTCGACAAACGTTGAGGAAGTATAATAAATTTTTAAGCAAAAGTAAAAGAATCGTGTGATTAACAATATATATATCATCATCATCATCATTATCATCATCATCATCATCATCATCATCATTATAAAGCTTTGAACTTTACTGACATTTATATTATTTTTTGTTTAATAGATTTGTTCACGTGTAATAATCTTTAAACAGACATCTAAATCTAATTCTTTTGGAAGTTCGCGGTCCATGAAACTTCCGGTGTCCTTGCGGTGTCCAGCAAAAGCTCATAAAAGCTAGGAAGCAACGTGAAAGGCGGCATACGAGCAACCTGCGCATCTGCGACCGGGTCAAAGCGATTGCGTAGATTGAAACGTGGCGGTGCACCAGTGAGAATCGAGAATCCGGCTCGCTTGCATGCGGATCTATCTCAAAATATTTAAATATTAAACATTAATTATCAATAGAAATGGCATTTTGAAAACTTAATTCGTTGTAATTGTTGAAAAGCCGCTTTTTCGAATGAAAAAGATAACAAAAAATTATGAAAAATGTACCTGAACACGATTTTCAAATTATCAAGAAGTATTTGTATACATGTTATACATGTTAATGTTTTGTGAATGAAAAGTGTAAAATATGACAAGATATCTCATCAAATTTGGAAATTTTTAAGTAAAAATATAAACTTTATATTTCTTCTTTTTGTTTTACACAAAGAAATAATCAAAGAAATAAAATTTTCTTTATTATTGTGAAAAGGAAGACTGGTTGTACTGTGATATCATTAATTATTATCTTCGCGCGATCTTCCAAAATATAATGTTTCGTTATGGCAGTGAAATACTTGGATGGTCCTTTTGTGTTCAGACTCAACGACAATGGTATAGGACCACATCTTCTTACACAGGTATAATATTTTATTTGAATTTACTTTTAATTATCTAGCATTATATATATATATATATTATATATATTAGATATATATAATATTTTTATTGAAAAAAATAAAAATCGAACAAATCGTATTTCAATTTCAAACGTGTGTATCATGATTACAATGATGAATGATTTCAACTTTGAAATACAATAAATATATATATATATAACATCGATAGATAAGTACATAAATGTTGGATACGTTCCGCCACGCTTTTATGTCGTTTGGAATTTGTTCGACACGGTTACAAACTTAGCCATGCCCTTGAACTGAATACTTTTCAAGGTACATACGATGTGCACATGCACGTACATACTTGCAGAGTCAAACGAGATGCGACGCGCTTTTGCGCGTGCACCATTTTTAGAAGCACAACTATTAAGTAAGCGCAATATGTAATAATGATAGCGAAGAGTAGAATCATCGTGACGATAATAGAGATCTCTTATTATGGTTTATGATCTCTATCTTATGTTCATGAAACTTCATCTGAACTTTAGCAAAAAAGAATTTATTATTCGATATTATTATAATTATATATTTTTTCCATTTAATTATTCTTATCTTTATCCTTTTAATTTGAGCTAAGTACATATACGCAATATAATTGAAAGTACTTTTTTTTATTTTTAATTTTGATATAAATTTAATAATAAATTTAATATTTCTATGGATGAAATTAAACTCTTATTGATGAATAGAAATAATTCAGGTTATAAGAACAGGGTGTAAATGTGGTCGATGACCTTTCACAGCGAATCGATGATATAAGAAAAGAATAATAAAAGTAGGCTACCGTAACAGTGAAAAGAGATATACTTGAATTTAATTGTAATTAGAGGCCTTGGTTCACTTTTGAAGTAACCATTCTTAATGCTCTAATAACACGACAAATAAATCAACATTTCTGTTATTTTCTCATGTACAAACGTTTCCTAGTTGTAGAATGTAAAATATATCTATTGTTTCATTCATTCGAATCACGCATTCACAAGATTTTTTTTTTTATTTAAAAAAAAATTTAATCTGTAAACAAATACTAATAAATAAATATATTTTATTTAATTTTATTTAATTATTTAATTTTATTAAATATAAATACTTGAATTATATACTTTGATCACAGGTTTGTACGGAACGTGGTTGGAGAGAATATACTGGCGAAAATAATGTATTCAAAGATCGATGGAATTTATGGTGGCGATCCGGCGGTTTCCCTTTACCCCATTATAAGCTATTACTTCCATGGCAGGTAATAGCACATCTAATTTTTTTTTCTAAAATAATTATATAACAAATCAAATTTAGTATGAGAAAATGTTTATCAAAATTATTATATAAATCATATATATTTTAGTTTATCAACAGAATTCCAAAAGGAAGTTCAATCTGTAGAAAAGACAATCTTATCCGTCATCTTAGATGCATGAAGAAAATGCACGGTTCGATCTATGATTTCAGGTATAATCTATGATACATAATAATAATTATAATAATAAATAATAATATAAATAATAATAAATAAGTATAGTCTATAAAAATAATGTTTAATCAAAAATAAAACATTAGTCCTGTAGGATATAATTTGCCATCGGAATATACTAAATTAGCGGAAGAATGGAGTCGTTGCGAGCATGATAGAGTTTGGATCTGTAAACCAGTTGGTCAGAGTCAAGGCAAAGGGATTTTTTTATTTCGTGTAAGAATTTCGTGTAAGAATTTCATGTAAGATGAATAGCATCTTGAAAAAGAATATAATTAATAAATTTATTAAATGTATAATGTTTATAGAAATTAAGTGATCTTACATATGATAATGCAGCAATAGTCCAAAGATATATTGAGAATCCTCTTCTAATCGGGGGCTATAAATTCGATTTACGATTATACGTGTGCGTACCTTCTTATCGACCTCTAACGATATATTTGTACAAAGAAGGATTGGCACGATTTGCTACGGAAAAATTTTCATTAGAACATATAAATGATTCTTTCCGACATCTTACTAACTTTTCCTTGAATAAATTAGGCCCAGGATATTCTGAGAAAAAAGAACGCATCGGTTCTGGTATAAAATGATTATTATAAGTTAAATTTTTTTGTATCATTATATTACAAATATGATTTGAACTTTCGTAGGTTGTAAATGGACTTTTAGACAATTAAGAAGATATTTTGAACAAGCTGGATATTACGATTGGTTCCTTTGGCAGAGGATAGCTTGTTTAGTTAGTTTAACAATACTAAGTCAAGCTGCGAGCATACCAAAATCTTCCAATTGTTTTGAATTCTTTGGATTTGATGTATTAATTGATAAAAATTTAAAACCATGGTTATTAGAGGTTAAAAGACATATATCTTACTCACTTAAAAAATGAAAATTATTGCTAACATTTGAAAAATAATTCAATAGGTGAATCTTAGCCCAGGTTTAAGTAATGATTGCGAAATTGATTCTGAAGTAAAGAAACCTTTGCTGCATGATTTATTCGATTTATTAGGTCTTCCAGTATGCAATACTGGACTTTCTCTTTTTACAATATGGTCAACAATTGATGATGAAGTTGAAATGTCTTCCAAGTATTGTACAAATCGAACAATGAAAAAAAAATCGAAAACTTATCAGGAAACTGATGGTTTTTTAAACATATACACGGAACTTCGGCCTACTGTACGTATCTACAAAAGAATATTAGTAAATATTGAATTGCTAGCAAAAATATTAAGTTTTATACTCATTTTAATCATTAGCTCAAACATTCAACCATCAACAATTCTTCAAATTTGTGGTCTCTTTACACTCCCTTATTAGTGGATAAATATATTCCACGCGGTTTTCAGGGTAATAACCCACAAAACAACGATAAAACATCAATATGGGATAATGGTAAAGATTGGAGTAAACCATGTACAAGTGAAGGAGGATGGGTCCGCATTTATCCATTGATATCGATAAAACCTAAATATGCTATTGATTATGTATCTTTATCAGAAACTACAAGAAAGATAGAAAAAGAAATTAGAAATACAGTTATTTCTATACAAAAGTAATAATTTAGATAAAAATTTTTCAATTTATATAAAAATATAAAAATATATTTGATTAATCTTGCTTTTACAGATATTTGAAAGCTGCCAAAGAAGTGCACAAGAAAAATGAAAAATATAGAGATGAACAATATAATGCTATGTTACGAAAAATGTTAGAACTTAATACTGAAATTTGGCTGCCATCAAAGTGATTAAACAAATATTCTCTATATTTTATTCATCTTTTAAGTAAATTTCAGCACAATGCTTTGACCAATTAAATTTTATAATA